TACAGCCAAAGTATTAAAAAAAATAATAACAAGCCTACCTTAATTGAGGATCCATTTCTAAAGTGAGAGAGCAATGGTCCCAAGAGTTTTCAATGAGAAAGGTGAGGTAGAAAGAAACCAAAGAGAGGACGTAATATCGCACAAAAGTGGTCGTGCTGGCCCCAGAGGCTTACGCCCCAACCTCAGCCTGTCCCCCATTCCTGGAGTCTTGCCGTCACCCTCCTCTGCCGCTCTGCCTCACGGTCTGAATGAACGCTCCTGCCTACAGCCGCCATCGCCCTGGACAACGGTGACATTTTGGTGGTGGGGGAGGCTACTCCTCTGTAAAGAGTATATCTGTTGGGAATGCAATTTTTGGAAGAAAGACACCATTTAAAAAGAACACTATTCCTTTGACAGCCCTGCAGAATGGGGCAAATGAATGAGAAAACGGCACATTGAGTCCAAGCTGGTCTTAGGCCCTGGGAGGTGCTGAGGTGCAGACCCCCTGTTTTAGGCTGGTCCCCCTATTTTGCCATGACCAATTCATTCCACCCCTTCAACAGGAGGACACTGGCTATAACACAGTCAAGAAATGCTTTTCTTGGAATATGGGGAAGGAAGTAAAATGAGGAGTAGGTTTATTGGGAGAAGAGATTCTTTTCGAAGGACTCTTGGGATAACACCTTCGGAATGGAAAACTTTTGGTGTCCTCAGTTGTAAGTGAGTATGAAGGCTGTTTTAATAATGAGCCAACATTTTGTGTAGTATAGCCAACCACCTTGGCTTAGAGTCTAACAGATATATACAGGCAGTTACCTACTCAGAAAATATGTCATAGTCCCTGCCATAGTTGAGTCAAGAGCCTGAAGTACTGAGCCAGGGTAAATAAAGGCTACTTCCTATTCAGAACCACTAGGGCTTCTGAACTAGAAATTGCTCCAAACTAGGCAGTGTTTCTTTCTTTCTTTTTTTTTTTCCTTCTCTTTTTTTAAAGATTTATTTATTTGAGAGAGAGAGAGAGAGCACGTATGGGCGGGGCAGAGGAAGAAGGAGAAAGAATCTCAAGCAGACTCCATGCTGAGCACGGAGCCCGATGCAGGGCTCGATCTCATGACCCTGAGATCACGACCTGAGCCGAAACCAAGAGTCGGACACTTAACCGACTATGCCACCCAGGCGCCCCCAAACTAGGCAGTTTTTTCAAATAAGAGATATATAAAGGAAGAGACCTCCAGGCTTTTCCAAGAGTTTGGACCTGCATCTTGAGACTGCCCAGGATCAGGCGGGTTCAGGGGAAGAAAGTCTGCCAGGCCACCTTTTGTTTGGCGTTTTTCTTGTTACACTCTATACATTTCTGAGGTAACATGATTTCTTTCAGATCATCCAATTTTGCTTCTCTTAAAACAAGATACTTTTGGGGATAGGCAATCAATGTGAAATATTTCAATCCATTTTCTCTTAGCCTTTAGGTAGCTTAACTACTATTAAAGTGGAAAATACCTGTCATTAAAAAGAGAACAGGCTATTCTTGTAAAAAATTTGCTCATTGTAAAAATAAGAATATGACTCATTATCAAGAATGAGTATATTTTTAAAGGGAGGCTATACTGCTCTAAAACCAAACCAACCCCCTTTTCTTCTGTTTTAGGAGTCTTCTGCTTAAATGCCACAGGTAACCAGCTTTTTTTCCCCAAAGGGTTAAAAACTTAGAACAAGAGAGATTAAATAGTTGGTTTAGGAAGTTTAGGCATTATACTAACTAGGACTTCTATCAGGAATAAAATCTATTCATCCAAGGGTAGGGTTTCCCCCAAACTCAAACAACAAAATGGTCAGAGGGCAGAACTGGTGAGAGATAGAAAGTAGACACATGCCTGATAGCACAGCCCTCAGGATTTGTTCTTATAATTAATCTGCTGGGCCTAAGTAAGCCCTGTGCACCTCTATTATGTGGCAAGTGTCGTGGGATAAGCATGGCACCAACACTGTTGCTTTTCCAAAGTATAATGAGAAAGAGCTGTGCTCAACAGTACGTGCAAAGGGCCTGTGACCCTAGTAGTCACACTGAGTCATGGAAAGGTATTGATAAGGGAACTTAAGAAATGCTTATTATTAAGTCTGGCAAAAGACAAATAAGAACATAACTACCAACTGTTCCAGAAAAGCAATTCTAGCACTGTAAGGTCTAATTATAGAAACTTCTAATTTAAAATTAAGAGCATATGTTGACTCTACCAATAAAGTTCTCATGCTAGTAGCAAAACTCAATATTTCATCTTATGATAATTAGTGAAAACTCTTCCAGAGATGATAACATTTATGCAAATGAAAAGTGAAATTAAATTCCACGTTGAGAGACTTGGCATTTGCCTGGATCACAAAACTTTGCTCCTGGAGACCAGTAAATATGTTACCATGGTGAGGAAATTATTTTGGTTTATTCCACTTTGAAACTCCTTCATAGGACTTGAGCACCATGGGGAATAATTACCTCCTCTCAACTCCTCTGAGAAAACACATTTTATTCCTCAAAAGACAAATCCCAGAATGAAACTGGACCATTATCTTACACCATATACAAAAATAAATTCAAAATGGATTAGGGGCTTAAATGTAATACTGAAAACCATAAAATATTAGAAGAAATTACAGGCAGTAAGTTCTTTGACATTTGTCTTAGGAGTATTTGCTTGGACCAGTCTCCTCAGGCTAAGGTAACAAAAGCTAAAACTGAAAAAAGGGGGATTACATCAAAGGGCAAAGCTTTTGTACAGCAAAGGAAACCATCAACAAATGAAAAGGCAACCTACTGAATGGGAGAAGATATTTGTAAGTCATACATCTGATACGGGGTTATTACCTGAAATATATAAAGAACTTACATGACTTAATATAAAAAAAACCATTAAAGATGGGCAGAGGACTTGAATAGATACTTTCCCAAAGAAGACCTACAGATGGCCAACCCGCACATGAAAAGATGCTCAACATCACTCATCATCAGGGAAATGCAAATCAAATCACAATGAGATTGTGACGGACTCCTGTCAGATTGGCTACTATCAAAAAGACAAAAAATAAGAGTTGGCAAGGGTGTAGAGAAAAGGGAAACCTTGTGCACTGTTGATGGGAATGCAAATGGTACAGCTACTGTGGAAAACAGGATAGAAAATTAAAAATAGAACTATCTCATGATCTAACAATTCCACTTCTGGATATGTATCCAAAGAAAATGAAAACACCAATTCAAAGACATATATGCATCCCTATGTTCATTGCAGCATGATTTGCAATAGCCAAGATATGTGACAATGGACAGCTACATGTTCACTGATAGATGAATGGATAAATACGATGTGGTATGTATGTGTGTATATATATATATATATACACACACACACACACACAACAGAGTATCACTTAGCCATGAAAAAGGAGATCTTGCCATTTGTGACAACATAGATGGACCTAGAGGGTAATATGCTAAGTGAAGTAAGTCAGACAGAGAAAGACAAATACTATATGTGAATCGAAAAAACAAAACAAGCGAAAAACAAAACAGACTCATAGACAATGGAAACAAACTCTTTGTTACTAGAGGGGCGTGGGGTTTGCAGACAGGCAAAAATCATTAAAGGGGATAAAGAGATACAAGCTCCCAGTTATAAAATAAATAAGTCATGGGGATATAATGTACAGATACGGAATATAGTTAATATTATAATAACTTTGTATGGTGGTGGATGGTAACTAGACTTATTGTGGGGATCATTCGTAATGTGTAAAAATATCGAATCACTATGATGTACACCAGAAATTAACAGGATATGATATGTCAAGTATACTACAATTAGAAAAAAGATAAGAGATAAGAAGGTATCTCCAGAGATAAGAAAAATAAGATCCAGTCCACTGGTGAGTTTGGCTAGCTGGGTTTTCTAACTCAGCCTTGGAGCTAGGAGACAAGTTCCCTTCTGGGTCAAAACTTCCTAGGCTCTGGGGGTAGAATCGTGACAGTTTCCCCCATCCTTTGTAATTCCAATCCAAACGCTATCAATGAAAACTGGAGAAATCAGCGTATGGTGAAGATGAACGAGGCTGTGCAGAGTCCAGCTTGCATCCTAAAACGTGGGCTGTGTCTGTGGCCATGGAAGTTTGGGTCTGAGCCACAAAACCAGCATGAGCCCTTCTGGTGAGAGATCTAAGAAAGTGGAATCTTCCTGACTCCATTTTACATCCCAAACCAGCAAACAGAATAGAATATTGAGTTTTCTCTTCTGCTGTTGTTGAATCACCCTACATTTTTCAGCTTGGCTATTCAATAGTTGCTTCCAATTGCTCTGAATTTAAGGGGCTAAGCTAAGAAAACATTTTATTGCTTTTAATGTTTTTGGGTTTTTTTGTTTGTTTGTTTTTAAGCTAGTAAGATAGATACCCTTTTATACATATTGTCAAGGATGGAAAGCCAGGTTCTTAGGGCACAAGTCATTTTCACACTGTATTAACAAGTCTGATGGGGAACAAATGGTGAGGGGGGGAAGGTATTTTAGAGATGTATTTATTTTTCTATAACACTAGATACCCAGAATGTGAAGACAAAAAAAGTTTCTCTTATTCATAAGTGATAATACAACTTCTATTATACCCCATTGTTAGGGTTGAATTGTGTCTCCCCACAGCACTCCAAATTCATATGTTGAAGTCCTAACTCCTAGTACCTCAGAATGGGACCTTCCTTGGAAAGCGTATCATTGCAGATATAATGGTTACGTTAGGTGCAGTCATCCTGGAGTGGAGTGGGCCCCTAATCCAGGATGACTGGTGTCCTTATAGAAAGGGGAGACTTGGACACAGACAAGTACACAGATGGAAGACCATGTGAAAAAGAAGGCAGAGATCAGGGGGATGCTTCCACAAGCCAAGGAATGCCAGAGACTGCTAGCTAACCGCCAGACACTAGTGGAGAGGCGTGGAAAAGAGTCTCCCCCACAGCCAATAGAAGGAACCCCTCTCAATACCTTGATTTTGGACTTCTGGCCAGCACGACAATGAGACAATTCATTTCTGATGGTTAAGCCACTCCGTTGGTGATACTTTGTCATGGCAGCCTTAGCAAAATAATATACCCACAGGGAGAGAAATGACGGTTATCAAGACCTACTTCTTTTTAAAAACAGATTCTTTCACAGTGGAATTATCCCCAAAAGGAAAAGAAAAGTATGTTCTTACTCTCAGTTCTTGGGGAACAGAATCTGGCTTCTTTATGTTGATCTCAATGCTACTGTTGCCCTGTTTGAGCTCCACTGGGGACCCACGCACTCTGGCCACACCTTCAAACATCTGGGATTTTGTTAATGAGGAGGCAGGTGCCACCATGGGACATTCTTTCTCCTTCTCCTTCTTGTCACCATGAACCGTTTCTCCATTCATGCTGACCTTCCCATCTACCTATAAGAAACACAAGGAACAAAAATCACATGCTATTTCCCAAAGGACGACTATAACAAAACAACACATTTAGAGTCACAGTTAAACATTATCATTTATTAATCACAGTCCAGCAAAAAATAAGGGCTCTTTTATGCTTCCATCGGTTCTAGAAATTAGGGATCCTATAAATGACCTCTCGGAGGGCCTCTTTAAAAGGTCATCAATCTTCTCAGGCCCCTTCACTTTGGATTAAATTTCATGTTCACCTTACTTGGCATGTGCTCTTATTTTAAAGTGTAGACTCAGAAACTAATAATACACTATATGTTAATTTATTTTAAATAAAATTAAAAAAATAAAGTGTAGAAAATCAAGGAATTTTAAGTATAACCACATACTTGGGTTGTAGTACTTCTTCATTTAAATTCTGAATGCTATTCCACAATTTTGAGATTTTTCTTTTCTGGCTAGCCTGTAAATTAGGTGGAACATATCTCAGATCAGGAATCTTTTGCAGCTTATCCCGTGGTAAGGGGGCAATGCGTACATTTTTGCAAGCTAACATGGAGGGCCTCTGGCCTGATGTTATGCTATATCACAATAAATTCTTATTTCCAGGTAATTTTACAATCCCAATTTTTTCAAGAAAAAAGGTCAGACACATTAAAATATTTTTGTTTTGTACCCATGTCTAGGGAAGGTGGTAAAAGAAAGAAAGGAGGAGTAGAAATGGTGGTTAGTTAGTCTGGCTTATTGAACGGCATCTAGAACTCTCTGTCTTGAAGTCTGAGGCAATGTATACAGTGGTTATAGGAGGAAGCTCAGAGAGCCTCGGATTCAATCCTGGCTCTACCATTTAAAAACCACATAATCTTCAACAAGTGTCTTATCCTCTGGGCTCAGGTTCCCCAACCACCAAGTTTATAATCACTGCATCTCCCTGATAGTGCTGTGGGGGGATTTTATGGATTAACATATGTACAGAGCTTAGAACAGTATCTGGCACATTTTATGTATGTAAATATTAGCTATTAGTATTATGAGACTTTCTAAAATCCTTCAAAAGGAATCATGGAAGGCCAGATATCAGTTATATCTACCTTAAGCTGTGGCTTACAGAATTTATTGTCTGTGATCCATAGGAAAGAAACTTAAATCGCAACTGAGCACACCCACGTAAATATAGCTGAAATAGGAGTTTTGCAAAACAATATTTACTTTATTATGTGTGAGGTACCAGACTTTTTTTTCCCTTGTATTTTACTTTATTTAAAAAAAATGCTGATACCAAGCTGCTAAACTGATTTCATAACCCGGCAACAGGTAGCAATTCTCACTTTGAAAAACACTGCCTTAGGGGCGCCTGGGTGGCTCAGTCGGTTAAGTGTCTGCCTTCAGTTCAGGTCATGATCCCAGGGTCCTGGGATCGAGCCCCGCGTCAGGCTTCCTGCTCAGCGGGGAGCCTGCTTCTCCCTCTCCCCACTGCTTGTGCTCTCTCTCACTACCTCTCTCTCTCTCAAATAAATAAAATCTTAAAAAAAGAGAAAAACACTGCCTTAAACTATTTCATTTGATTTTCCTTTACTCTTAATTCTGTTGTCCTGGGAAACTAAGTCTATATTCTCTGTCTCCCTCACTCCACTGTCCTCCCCATGAGAAAACACACACACATACACACAGACACACACACACCCCTCATAGTTTCTGTCTTGGCATTATCTGGTAACAACTTTTCCACATACTACCTTTGACCATAACGGGGTCCACCCACTCAGTGATGGGTCCGTGAATGGAGCTGATAACCATCAACGCCTGTGATGAGTCAAGGGCTCATTAGTGGTCCAGAGTGAACCCCAGCTCTAAAAAGATCTCTACTCAGGTTCTTCTCCGCACCCCTCCATGAATGCTCTTAGTGACGCCTGTTACACTGTTTTGCCACAGCGGTGAGAGACAGGGTTTCCTCAGGGCCAAAGTCTTGCCATCAAGTCATCTGTCATAATTCTTCTGTTTAAATGATCACCTTGCACTATTTATATAAAGGAGGGGAAGTGGACATCTGGATTATCTGATCAGATGCCTCAGATACCAAGTTAAGTAAACTGTATTCCCTACCCCCATTGTGGGCCACCTCAACATCAAACCTTCCTTCATGAAACATTACAGACGGTTCTCGGTCATGGGCCCTAGGTGAAGGAGAGCTGGTGCCGTACTAGGTGGGATACTGGGCATGTCTGGGCACATGCTTATCTACGTGTGAGCCTGCATGATGCGTAGCTCATTTTCTCAGGAAAAATTCATGTATTTATTCGATAAGAACTTACTGAGTGCCTACTATGTGCTGGGCACCTACGCCAGGCTCCCAGGACAAAGCTGTGAACAACAAAGACACAGCCCCAGCCCTTCGAGGGACATACATCTCAACTCAACCCAGATGAGATGTCCAGGACACTCTTCTTTTGTTCTATCGAAGCCTAAGGCACAGACTTTTAAGATCCATTCCGAGTTATTTAAGCAACAGTCAGAAAGTGTATATACAGTTTGGTTCCCTCTGAAATTCAATAGGAAGATACATGACATCCCATTGCTCAATTAGTTTAGCCAAGCAAACTTTCTTTATAGTCATGTGCCCATGTCTCCTGCTGATGAATTCCACCTCTGTCTTCTATTAAGAACCCATGTGGTGTGCAGGGACAACGAGAACTGAGTTTTCTTTGTAGTCAAAAGAGCTTAAGCCAAAGAACGAGTGCTGCCTCGTGGTGTGAGGGAAAACACTGGAATGTGAGCAAGCAAAAAGATGTTTGGTTGTCATAGGTTCTTTGGTTCTGGAACATTACTTTACATATTCATTGGCAGGAAACAATCCAGTTTCTTTCCCTTTTAAAAATATTTTTAAAACTCCCTCTCATCTGAGAATCAAGTACATCCCATGTTCCTGTGTGTTTCTTGTATTATTCCATTTTTGCAATTGTAGCATCTTTTTGGATATGATGTCAAATTCTTTAAAAAGAAGAGGTGGCTGCATATCCTTCTACCTAAACCAAAGGCAATTACAATTTTGTTTTGAGGAGTTTGCTATACCTCCACAGAGCCGGAGATCCCCAGGGTTTTACTAAATTAAGGGTTGGTTAGAACTACTGTAGAGAGACCACGCCATTCTATCAAACTGGGAAATAAACCTCACTCCTTTAACTATTTGCAAACCAAATCCCCTGAGACATAAACTTCACAATCGTAAATGGTTATACATTTCACTCTTGTTTGATAAACATAATTGCATCTTCTCAGGGCAAGATGCTTCTTTCCACTGATTACCTGGGGTTCAGTTTTGGTTCTCCTCTTAAGGAATGCGTCCTACCTTAAAGGTCTTCAGAACCTCTTGAGAGGTCTTGGGCTGGGAGTAAGGCTTGGGTGTCAGCATAGGCACTGCTTTGGGGGTGACGGTTTTGCTTGGAGACCCACTGCCTGCTGACATGCTGGTATCCAGAACGCTGGTCTGAGCGATGGTGGTCTCCACGGTGGCAGTGAATTTGGGTGGGGGCAGTGATTGTCGCCGCAGGTACTTCATGGGGCTAGGGTCGTTCAGGAAGGGGGTTAAGTTTGGCTCTGTGGAATGGCTTCTTTCCAGAATTTTTGGCATCTCCAAGCGTTCGAGAACAGCCTCACTGATGGTGAACCTCTCGATGTACTGTTGAAGGATCCCCTCCGCCTCCTCCTGGGACCGTGCGCTCTTATAGGCCTCATGCAACTCCCTCTCTCTCCGCTCTCTAAAGGATGGGCATGGGAGGGAAAGCAATCACAGAGTCAACAGTCACAAAAATCGCAAAGAAGACCTCGGCAGAAGCCAAGGCTGAGCTGACGGGGGGAGCCCAGGGAGTGTGTAATATGGGCGTCAGAACCCTTGTGATAACTGATGATTTTTAGAAAAAGCACATCTAGACATCATTGTACATGTAAAAGACAACAACAGAAAGGACTCACTTTTCTTGAACAATTTCTCTGTAAGTTTTGATGCTTTTCCTTCGTTCACTTGTTCTGTCCTCTCCAGCCAGTAACTTCTCCATTTTCTTCCTTTCTTCCTCTTTCTTGATTAAGTCCTGAGAAGCACTTCTTCTACGGCTCTTCCAACGAGCCAGGTCCTAGGGGGGTGGGGGACAAGGGGTCGACAGAGCATACAATTCTGTTTCTACTCTTCAGAGTTGAGTGAGCACTGACTGTGGGCCCAGCACGATGCGAGGCCATTCCCACTCAATCCCGCGTAAAGTCTGGTGGGAACAGGAATGCCTCAAAGGCAGGAAACATTCAGATATGGCCACATTCTCCATAGCAGGCCAGCACATTCATTTAAACACGGTAATATGAACTATGCAAGCATATCTCACGTCAGCTGCTAAATTTTAAAGTATTGCTTCACAGGGTACGGTAAGAAACTTCATTTTTTCCAATTTATGACCTGCACACTGTGAATGGACTTGCTGACAACAGAATGGTAGGAATCAACCACAGACAGACACAGTTTCCTCAGGGAAGGAACAAAAGGCAGAAATAAGGACGTCCAGGACGCTGGAGTCAGGCGGGTGGGATTGCAGCTGTGGGAAAGGATCTCAGCACTACCTTTTCCATGCTTTGGAATCTCAGGCATGTTTGTCAGCCTCTCTACACCTCAGTTTGCTGATCCCTAAAATAAGGATGACAATGACATGTCCTCTTCCCAGCCTACCGTGAGAGTTAAATGACATAGTGCATATGAGGTGCCAGCCATATCGTAAGTGCTCGATAAATGGCAGACCCGATTATTACTACATTTCATAGACGTTAACTTTTTTGGCTGATGGTACAGTCAAGGCCGCAACGGCTACCTCAGAGAGCTCTGTGAGGACCACAGGAAAGAATCCATGCTCCCTCCCGTCATCCCCATCTTCAAGCTCTTCCCTGCCCTGGCTCTTCGCTCTCAGCACACAATCACATGGCCCTCCTCAGGCCACAGAGACCTCCTTCCCTGGTTCTCACCCTGGCTCCCTTACTCACTAGCTGTGAGACTCTGGGCGAGTTACTTAGCTGTTCTGGGACTCATCTGTGGAGCGGAGGATGATACTAGTTGCTAGCTCACTGAGTTACTAAGGAAACGGAAGAAATCCTACATGCAAGGCAGTTAGAACAGTGTCTGTGACCGGTACGCTTTCGATGTTGGCGATTACTGTTGCCATCAACAGCATGATTACCCATTTCAATAGATCATCTCGAAAGACAGTGCATCTTCTATTCTACATCCCATGCCAGGTGCCTCCCTCCTGCACCACCCCCTCCCTCTGTGGCCAACCTTCTAGCAGGGGGCTTGCCCAATACATGTCTGCGTCCTTCACTCTTCACCTTTCATGTTGTCATTAACCTTCCTTTAATTCCCACACTTCCTGTGTCCCTGTTTGAAATCCCCGAAGGGCTCCCTTCCCCTGCCTAGCTTTCGAGTCCAAGTCTACCCGCCCCACCTGACTTCCTGCTCCAAGGGGGCTCTAACCCATGGTGCAGGGCAGCCTCCCCGCTGCCCCTGGCCTTGGCCGGCACTCACATCTTGCCATTTGTCGTCCTCTTCCCGCAGCTGGTTATTTATCAGCTGCAGCTGCTCCTGGCGGGCCCTGCTGTGTGGCTGCACCGTGGCCTCCTCCTCACACCGCATGTCAAACATACTCGTGCTCCTGAGTGTGGAGAGAGAACAGACAAAAATGGACCGGTGCCCGGGATGTGTCTGCGCGTTCTGCCGCGTGGGGGCGCTACCGCGCTGGCAAAAGTGCCCCTTTTCCCTCCGCAGCTCAAGACAGCAGCGCGACGCGGCGTGTTGCGATTCCCCCAGCCCGCAGCGGGCATGCTAGCGCCCCCACCTCTTCTCCTTTTAACCCCCAAAGCCGAAATGTGACCATCTTTGCCTTCAGGGGTGGCTGCAGCAAGTCAATATAATTTTATACGTAGGTGCCAAAACATTACGGAAGAGCTAGAAAAAGGTATTTGGAGCTCTGGGCTCTTCTCGATTGGAAATGGATTAGGAAACAAAATGAAGAGAATTAAATAATGTGGGGAGAATGTATGGGCAAGGAGGGTGGCATTCCATGAAGCAAAACGTTCTTACAGTAAATGCTTGCGTAAAGAGCTGTCTTACGTGCTTTCTACATTAAGGCAATTTCTCCACTTCCAAAAAAATCATCTAGCCTCAAGTCTAAGACACCCAACTTTTCATATTGAAGTTTCTGAATTGTGGATGCATCTAAGAGCTATGCATTACTGATTCATATATTTGATGTGATTATTTCTATTTCCTGTAAAAATGTCTATAAATTGGTAGTGCAGTTGATAGCATCCAGGAATCAAGAAAATAAGGTATTTTATCATAAGATTAAGGAATAAAACATATAAATCAGTATATACTTTGTATCTTAATATTCTCACAAGCATTATACCTTATTTTTGTCAGGATACTTCTGAATTTACTCTTTTACAAGACAAAGGATAGGGAAAGCAATTTTTTAAGGCCTTAGGCTATACATATTATTGATATGTTCTATAGGAGCTTATTAAATGTTGGGCAAGACCATAGGGCCTCTTCTTACGGTGCTTACATAGACCTTTGTTACAGCAAAAGCTGAAGCAGCAAGACGAAAACAGAAATAAAAACCAAAGCAAAATCCTCCCTTTTTTTCTCCTCTCAAAGAAATGAGCCCTGGGACCAAGTGGGTTACATAGTCCAAAATCAAGAAATGGAGGTTCACTGTTAAACTCTCAGAAGACTATGACAGTCCATTTTTGAAGCCAGCTTAACACAAAGAAAAAGAAAAGCCATGCACTTAGACTCCACTTAATTCTAGACATCATCGGTGATGTCCAAAATAGTTCTCCCCACGGCCAGCCAATCAACAGCAATAGTGCTCCTGGATGCCAGTCGGGTCCTGAGCAGACAGCGCTCTGGAAGGGGAAGCCAGATCCTCAATGCTATGGCTGCCCACTTTCATTCCGATGCATTCAAAATGAAGCTGCATGGATCTGTTGGGTTCCTCTTCCTTCTCTCTAGGTGTTGGACTATTTAAGTCTGACCTAAGAGAGCTGAAACTGAAGATTGTACTTGCAATCTGTCTTCCCCAAGAGTATTCAAATACTCTGACTACACAGGACTTTTACCTGAGGCTTCTATTGGCACAAATATGGCAAACCACCATGGGGAGCTGCCTCTGTGTACTCAGTGGATGGTGCAGCTACGTCTTCTAGAAAGATAAACTGCAGTCCTCCAAGGGGGGAGGGGCTGCAGTTTTTCATTTATTTTAGACTATTTATTAAGGTTGTTTAAGAAAGATTTGGGAATTTGCAGAGGTAGGTAGAAAAGCCTAACCTCGTGTTTTTTGTTTTTTTAAGCATCATGGATGAAAAATCACTTAAGTAGGCTTTCCAGAAAGAGACTGAAGTTCATTCTATTCTTCTGGAACCCCAGGAAAAATGGCAGTCTTCTCCAAGATTTGGGATTTGGTTACATCACTCAGAAAAGAATGGGAGCAAGGCCTTGAGAACTGCCTTCTTCTGTCCTGCGGTCCTATCTCTGTTCCCACCGTGAAGTTCTAATGACCCCAGCCCAAATGTGGCCAAAATCTGGTTAGTGAAATAAAAAGAGAAACTCCGGTTTGCCCTCCCATATACCAGGAAGTACTATTTTTCCCCAGAGTTGTTTTGTTTTGTTTTAAAGAAATTCCAGCCAACTGGCCAAAAAAGAAATAACTGAACTATGAGCCATATCTTTATGCCACTTCAAAAAAAAGGAACTAGGCAAGTTGAAAAATGATAATACTAGACAGAAAATGGGCTGAGTCACCATTCAGAAAATGTCCCTTACTTCAGAGGTTGGACTCAGCCTCCAAAATGAAGAAGTGTGTGTTTAGGGGCAGGGTGGGGAATCCTGGAGGAGCCCAGGCTCCAGAATATTAAGGTGACTCGCACTAAACATCTGCTCTCAGCCCACGCCTTGTGCTGTTGGGACAAGGGTCCCCGGCTGCCGAGCCCCAGAGTCTCTCATGGTGGTGGGTTGGCATCTTGGAGGGCCAGGATGAAATCACCTCCAGGGGAGCCTGGAAACTGTTTCGGGGCCAGGTCAAAGGTGAGGGAATTAGGAATAAAACAGCCTCCAACTCTCACCGTGCGCAGGCTCTGTTGGTGGGGAGAGCCTTGGGACAGGAGGAGCGTGCACGTGAAGAAAAGGGCAAGAAGGTGAAACTACATCTACGGAAACATTTGGCTAGGTGGGAGGCGGAAATCTCTGTTTGCCTGTGTGGTAGGTCTGCCCCTGACCTGTATTTTCCTTAAAGGGCACATCTTTTTTTGATTGGGCTGTATTTTAAGAATGTGCCAGTTCTGAGTAAATAGAGCCTGTGCCAATAATTACCTTTAACGATTTTGAAAAAGGGAGAGAGTGGGGGAAGAAACTAAACATATAATATCTATTTAAAAATGAAACTCCCCATATAAACTTTGCATTTTGCTCCCCACAGGGCTTCATGCAAGTTGTGTCTACTCCCAAGGAGGAGATTCGGCACTTTGGATACTCCTAGAGAAGATCTCTGGAAAAGAAGCTCCTTTCATTCTTCTTAGTCCATGAGGTTGCTTTTTGTAAATTTAGGGCAGAGAAGAGAGTCCCCACCTCCGCCACCTTGAAAAAAATCATTCACTTTTCCCGTAGGTGAGGTTTCATATTCAGGAACAAGTAAGATTCAAACGCTCTTTACCGTAGCTTCCTTTCTTCCACCTTTTGGGATTTCCCAGAGATCCGTCTTAGGCAAACTGCACAGCGGCCTTGCATTGAGGAAGGATAAATCCAACCCATCAAAATGTTTTTGCTAACCAAATCAAAGTTTTGCCTATTCATCTTTGATCATCTTCCTTTCAGTGCATGTTAAATATTGCCACTGCAGATTTTCAGTGTAATAACCAGGGCTCAATTTTATAGACAACTCCATGCAGTCAGTCAAGCTCAAGGGGATCTTGGTTTTGAGACATGACTGTTCTGCACGACAGGCCACGAAGCAATCACAGATCGCACAATGGGAACGGATCCTGGCACCCGAGGCAGCCCGCTTAGTGCTAGGACAAACCAAGCTGACATCTTGAACACAGACGTGGAAAAGGTACTGGAAACAGTAATTTGGGGGCCCAATCTCCTTGTCATTGGGGGCAATGAGTTTTGTGTTTTGCACCCTTATTTAGATGCCTCACTGGGTGACTTAAATGTCTTAGGCCAGTGTGTGCTCTTCTGATGGCCCAGACTCCCACCAGCGCACAGACTGTTTGTCACAGAGGAGAGACATCAGGCTCAGCAGGCCACTGACGCTGGAATTAGATATTAATTATGTTTCTCAAAACACAGATTTTACTCAACTCTGAGAAAGCTAGTATTGTGCATAGAAAATGTTTGCCTTGGATATCTGCTTCAGAATGCTCTGCAGATGGGAAATCCATTTCTGAAACGGAGTTAATGTGGTCACAAATGGGAGAGTGGTGGCTTCTTCTCAAATTTGGATGTGAGGCGGAGGTAGGGAATGAATCTCTGAGAGGAGTGGAAAGTAAGGAGCCGGAAGAGGAAGCCCAAGTCATGTTTGACATCTTGACCCCTTGCTATGCCACAGAACTTGAACGCAACCCCAACGTTCCGGTCGTGAGCATCCCACAGTTTACATTACTCCAACCTGGGAGGAACTTGGGCTTCTGAATCTATAATTAGTGGTTCAGGATTTGTTTTCTTAGCTCAAAAAAAAAATAGGGCCATGAGAATGGCTTGCTTCATTGTTAACTCCAAGCCCTAACCTACCAAGAATTAAATGCAAAACGCAGAATAATTCTGTGGTTCAGAAGGGGTACCAACATCCAGACAGTCAGACCAGCCTCCCCATGCCACATCTATGAAAAGCAAATGTTAAGTTTAAGCAGCAGCTGTGTATTAGAATCATGCTCGAGTTACTCTTTCATTCATCTCTCCAGCACAGAACATATGTTCTGCATTCCAACTTCAAGCGCTTTTCCGAGGCTGAGTCAGTGAGCTGCTCAGTTCACTGCTGCATCAGTTGCATTTCAATTAGTGGTAAGTATGGGAAGCATGCAGTTCAAGCTAGTCATTAATGGATTCCTACAAACACAAGACAACTTACTCTGCGTCATCAGACACAGGAGTTCTCGGACCGTATCTACAAGACCAAATACAAAATTAGAGGATGGGCAAGACAGAAGGTTAGCTCTGTAACCAAGCTGGCAATAAACATAACCGGTGACATATTTGTGTGCCAAACCTTTTTTGCCGATCACACTGGAAGAGAAGCGTCGTTACACAATTAGCAATATTTATTAACTGCTGGAAATGAGGGAACAGTCTTGACGTTGCTAAAGAACGCAAAACATGTTTTTAAAACACAGAGGAGAGATGAAAATAATCCCCATGCTACCCACAAAAAAAAGAGTCTGTTCAATATAAACACAAGAAGGCTTAGGTGCAACCCACAATGTTTAGAGAAGGCAGTTTAAGAAGGAAAAAAAAAAAAAAAAAGCCAAACCTGTATTATGGTCGTTCACAAACAGTTAAACCGTTCTTGCCTTTATGTTTGGCAGTAATGGGCTGTAATGGACACCCAACATAGAAGCACACGCTTACTGACCCTTTCCCTGATGTGTTAATGCTTTTGCACAAATGACATCAAAGAGCGTTTCTGCAGTTTTCTGAAAGCAAACCAGAGCTCCAACCAGAACCCCAATCAGTGCCTTCCGCATGCATTTGACAAAAACCACAATTCCTAGAAAACTGGCAGCCTTAATCAAAGCCAGACTTGAATAATATTCCGTAACTTGAAAAACCAAAGTTTTCCTTTTTACAGTCTTTTATATTCTTCTGATTATTCAGATCTACAAAGTTGTACCTTCTGCAGTATAGACACTTTAAATTTTAATGCATCTGATAAAGCAAAGAAAAAGGTTAAATTAGAAAAAAGAAATTAGGACATTACAAGGGCATATTTTAAAGCACAGTTTAAAAAAGCAGCTTCCACAAATGACTATCTCTTCGGCAAAGGGAAATGTTAAGAGAAGGTTCTTACCTATGCCCTCAAACGCCGTTCATCTCTGCACTCTGATGGTGGACAAAGAATTATTTGAGTAAAGAAAAAAGGTCCTGCTTTCAGTTTCCAGCAAATTAAATTTTGTGGTTTTCAGCAAAAATTACCTAGTCTCGTGTTCAGTTTCATAACAGTTTATGGGGAAAAGAGTCATTTCTAGAGATGTCTTCCTGTAATCTTAGGGAAAACACCCTGGAATGCATGGGTGCACACATACCCACCCTTCTCTCTTACCTGCTCTTATCATTCTAGAACAGTCTGCATTCATGCATTCATTAATAATTGTTTTCGTTCACAGTGAAGGCAACCAAACCAGTGCAAGACCCAAAGTCTCTGCTGAAATGGCCCAAAGGTTTGTGGATATTTCTCTTCTGGCAGTAAGACTCATTTTCTGTTTCTCCAGGGGATAGTTTCAGAAGGGGATAAAGTTTAACCTAATACACTCAATTTTCTAAAAAACACGACTACATTTGGAATCAATGACCAATGGTCAAGGGAGAGTGCATGAGCAGTTAGTTCTGAAGACTGGATCAGTGTTTGTCAGTTAATAGGCCTATTGGAATAGGCTTATTCAAATCCAGTGTTTTCTAAATTATCTATGGAAGAGAGCAGAGAAGTTATGCCTAGTTAACCTAGAAATAATCAACTCATAGTTAGTACGTGTTTTGTGTCTCTATCCGAATATTTTTGTTAATGTTTTATTGAAGTAGAATATATATACAGAAGGGGCACCTGCCAGACACATATCCCTCAATGAATCCGCACAACCCAGACATACCCAGAGCTTAGTGTCGAGTGTTTCGTACTATATAAATGGATCCATATAGTATGTATTCTTCCGAGTTTGGCTCCTTTAGCCCATTTTGTTGATGAGATTCAGCTACGTGTTGTCACATGTAAGATATATTTGAATTTAGATTGCTTCTACACAAAATACTTAACAGCATTTCATGGAAATCTCTGCCAACAAATGTAGATTTACACTAAAGTGTAAGCTCCATGAGGGCAGGGATTTTTCTTTTTGGGTTCCCTGAATAGTGACCAGACAAGGCCCTCAATAAGTATTTACTGAGTACTTACTGGATGCTCTGGAAATTGAAAAGAATAGCTTAGTCTCTGGAGATAGCCTTCATTTACCCTTCTACTATATATACACTTATGGACTTAAGGAATTTCCTCCTAATTCATTAAGATTTAAGAGGGCATCAATTTAAGCAGACCTGCCTTTGCAGTTAGGGAGAAGATAATTAGAGCTTGGGCTTCAAATGACTTTCTCTGTTGTCCTATGGGAAACTAAAAAGTAAAGGTAAGTTAAAAAATCACTAATAAGGAGATTTTTTTAAAAATGCCAAGTAGGTGAGTCAACAGGTACAAAATTGGCCAGACAAATCACAGTTGGTGTAAGCATCCCACCAGAAAGAAAAAAAAAAAGAAATGAAAAAGCAATGAATAAAGTTTAATTGTGAGGGTAGGGATATTTAGAAAGATAAAGAGAATATTCTATGCATCTATTTCATGTATGTGACTTTCAGCACTAATAAAGCATTTTAGGATCAATAATTAGCTGGTTCTATACTTCCATATTGTGAACTGGCATAGCTTCATTTGAAGTGGGAGGGGAAAAAATGGGTTTCCTGCTCATTTAAAATTATCCCCTAGCTCCCAGTAATTACCCATAGTAATTACTCAATAAACAGTTGTGGAAAAGGAACATGAATTCCCAAGGTGTATGCTCATTCAGTCGCACAACTGACATGCAGTTCATGTGACCACATCTCCTTCTCCTCAAACTAGCCATTCATTCTCATTTGGATCTAAAGAGGCTTTTCTCTGAATCACTAATAGAGGGACAGATACAAGTGACAGGGAATTCATCAGACTGCCACCGTTCCCTCTAGTAACCTGTGCAGGCAACGTGTGGGAAGGGGACCATGGCTTTCTGCTCAGGCAGAGCTGGATCTGAATGTTGGACCTGTAATTACCAGCTGTGTGGACGTGGGCCTCCGTTTCCTAACTGCAAAATGCAGCTGAGAATTCTTCCTCTCAAAGGTCATGTGAGGAATAAGTCAATGGGAAAGCACCTAGAATGGGTAGGCAGCCATGGGCCCCTCTTCCTTCTTCCCTTTCACGCTAAGTTGCTTTAGAGCAGCGCATGACCCCAGGGCCACGCTGCATCAGGGCATCTGGAAAGTGAGTGAGGATGGTGGACTGGGCAGATCAGTCAGTCCCTCTGCCACGAACCAGCCCTGACCAGTGTGACCGGCCGGGACCCACGTGGGATCCACTCACCCTCTTCTCTCTCCATCGCCCTACCTGTGAATTGCCAGAAGGAGAGCTACAGGGAGAAGCCACCCTTTGAAAGGGCTACAAAGCACTCTGCACTATGAAGCAGAGCACGAATAGCGTCCTGAAACCAACGTTACAAAGAGGCTCTGCGAGAGTAGTAGTATGATGATTCAGAGAAATATAAAGCATAGATTAAATTCAGGTCATAAAGATAGCTAGGATCTTAGTTTTAAAATTTGGGTGTTACTTAAGGTTTTCCCTGCTCCCCATCCTACCCTCTGACCCGCTACTTTCAAGGTCCTTCGTGAAGTGGAACCTCATCACTTCCTGCTTTCTATGGATCCTGTAATTATGCAAAACACCTCTCACTCTTTTATTCTACTTAGATCTGGCAGACCACACTTTTAACAAAAATGTATCACTCTTATTAAATAGCAATAGAAGCCTCAACATACAGTACTTTTAACTACAAACTTCAGATTATTTCCTTACTCGTTCTTTTTTTTTTTAAGATTTTTATTTATTTATTTGAGAGAGAGACAGAGATAGTGAGAGAGAGAGCACACGAGCAAGGAGGAGAGGGAGAAGCGGGCTCCCCAGTGAGCAGGGAGCCCAACTCCTGGGCTCCCTGCTCACTGGGTCCTGGAGCTTCATCCCAGGACCCCGGGATCATGACCTGAGCCGAAGGCAGACGCTTCACTGACTGAGCCACCCGGATGCCCCTCCTTACTCGTTCTTTTAAATCAAGTCACAGCATGGAATAGAAATCTTACCTCTAGAAAGCCCTGAGTGTTTGCTAATGTTGAAATGAAATGAAATTACAAATTGTTAAGTGGTATACATTTTCTTTGGACCTGAAGACCCTCTTGGCACCAAACTGAAATCAAATAGGTCAGAAAGAAGTTCAGTTCCTTTACCTGAGGGCTCCTATACAAGCTAGGAAGAAATAAAAGAGTTACCCATTTAGGTGGCCCACAAGGTGAGTCAGAAAAAAAAAAAAAACGTTCAACAGGAAAACTCACAACTGCATCTTCTTTCCACACCTGCTTATATGCAAAAAAAGGGAAAAAAAATTCCTGGCAGACTGGGCCAATTTTTATCTTTCCATTTCCGCAAGCAATCACAGATAAGTGGCACTGAGGTACCATAAGGCGTTAATAACATACTCAAAGCATTATGGAGGCTCAGAGCAGAGAAACAAAATCACAAAGGCTCAGGAAAACCTTCTGACCTCTTATCCTTCAATGGTGGACCCTTGGCAGATGCCTCCACATCCTGTCGCTTTGCAAATGGAACTGGAAGGAACTGGTTTACATTGGATCCAACGCGTCTAAGAGACATCCCGGTTCTCCTGACCATCATGTCATCTTTTTGCGAATCATACAACCTTCCTTGGCCTTTCAGTCCACTGCCACTCCTGGCTGTCATCTTCTCCGAGCTCTCTTCCGTCCCCGAAGTCTTGCATTCAGAGGCCGGGGGACACAAACTAGGGCAACATTCAGTCCAGCCAGTCAAAGGCCACTTACTGCTAAAGATATTTTCAGTAGCGTCACCCACGGGCATCAACCCAAGACAGAAGAAGCCAACGTCCACGGAGGCAGCAACACACATAGCAACTGAGTACTAATACCGTAGGCCTCCATCATGCAATGGGTACTTACACCGGAATGGGTTTCCCTTTCGGGTTGTCATGATTCCTGAGGATGAAATCCGGCCAGCACCCAACCACATGCAAAGGCTCAAATCTCTACTCAGGGAGGGCGCTGAGAGCAGAACTCTGACCCTGGGATGGGTGCATTCTTTTAAGTGACTGAACTCCATGCCACATCAGTCATCAAGGGCATACTGTGGTTCGAAGCTGTTTTCTGGGAACACAACAGCCACACACAGCAGAAGTAGCACACCCTGGAAGGCAGACAAGTGCTCACGGTGGCTGGCTGCTCTCCTCTGGTCTTTCAGCCTTTGGCGGCCTCGCAGAATCTCTTTGAGCAGCTCCTTCCTTCTCTTCTTTGCCAACCTGTGGCAGCTGTTTGCTTGTCGCTGAAGCCAGAGAGGACAGCTTTACTGCTAGGTAAGACTTCACACCCGAGGCCTTGACCCCACCTGTCATCTGTCACCTCCTGGGAAGGGAGGGAACGTTGCTCCTCACCTTCCTCTGTCCCCGGGCGCTCGCTCAAACTGCACACATGCTCCTCCTGGGTCTCCAGCACAGAAGCCAGCCACGAGACCCTTTTGCAATAGTCAGCGACGCCAGAATTCACTATTCTGGGGATAATCAAGTAGCATTGGTGGCAAGAGAGAAGAGGAAAAAGAATTATGAAAGGACACAAGGAACGTGGTTGGGACTGAGAGATTAAGAAGAGTTCGGCTGCTCTCATTCCGGAGGCTGGTTAGTAAGGATGACACACTCAGATGGAGATCATGGAAGGCGAGCCCCAGCGAGGGCCTGAGGAAAGTCAAAGAAGGCTGGCGAGACCCTGTCACCATGGGGCTAAGTGATGGCCCCCTCCCTAGTCAAGGACTCAATGATGCATTTCTTACTAATTTCTTACCCCCACCTACTCCACCCCAGGTCCTCGTCAGCCTCTGAAACACCAACTGTATTTCTGGTGTACTAGGATTACTTATATCTACAATCTGCTATCTCTATGCTGTCGGCCACAGTATTGGATGAAAGACATCCCTCTGTATGTCATAGACCATTCACTGTTTCCTTTGGATTTCAAGGACAAAGCACAGAGGAGGATGTCTTAAGCATTTCCTCTTGCCATGGAGAGCATTACTTTGCTCCCAACATGCAGGTGGAATGGAGGCTCCCGGGAGAGTCTAGGGGCTTATAACCTCCTAATACCTGCTTCCTGGAAGAGAGACCAGTCCACAGAACTGAACGCCCAAAAGAGAACTTGGAAATTCAAAGCTGGAAGGCCTCCAGCAAGGATGAGAACCCGTGACAGGCCGACGCGGGCTTTTCCCAGGTGATCCCTCACACATTTGGATGGAGATTCAGCCAAGGAAACTCTTGACTCATAGGAACCCCAAGAGAGGAGTCTTTTTCCATTCACCATTTATTATACAATTATTTTTTTTAAGTAGGGGAGGAAAGAGACCTTTACTTTCTTTTCAACTGCTTCAATGTCCAAATTTGAACAAATGATATTAATAACTATTTTTTTCTTCCCTTCCTGGGATAGGAAAAGAGGGAGGTTAAGGATAAACCTGATTTTTATTGTTCCTTTAGAAGAAACAATAGGGTGTTAAACATTCCATCGAGTTCATTTCAGTATTTCCAACTAATAAAGTAGTGCTAATGCAGCTGAGGGAAAAAGGGTCCTTCGCCAAGATTACTGGCATTCCCAGGCAGGGATTCTGGGGACAACAGAATCAAAATGGACACCTGCCATTAACGTTCACACACGCGCTCCTCCCCAGGGTGACCTGCTAACGTTACTTCTCTGCCAACCAGCCAAAGAGTCTGTTAAAACTATGGGATGGCCGGAGGTTTCTGACAGGTGCTTCAGCAGACCCTTTCAAAGCAGCAATGGCTCCCATGCAGGTCTTGCACACGGATGGAGGAAAATACCTGGGGTCATTTTGTGGAGTAAGCATTTGGTCTTTTTCTAAACTGGACGTGGCCGCGGAGGAAGGGGGGACAGAGTAAGTTTCAGTCTTGCTGCCACGACTGAGGACTTCTTCTACCTCCTCCCTAGGCCCAGCCTGGCCGATGCTGAGCCGCTTCCATTTCTGCTGATCTATCTCTGTCACGGGTCCAAAGTGCACAAACTTCTGCCGGGGGCTGGAAGCTTTCTTATAGGCCCTTGCTTTGCGGCTGGCAAAATCATCACGAATGGCAGTTTCTGCTTTAATTTCTGGTGAAGGCTCAGGGGCACAGATGTGCTCAACATCTCCATCCCTAGTCAGAACCAGAAATGAGTTCCAAAGATTTCTAAGACAAGTGTAAATTAATAAGAGCTTTTTTTTTTAATACTAGATTTATGAAAAATACTTCTATGGCTAGAGCAGAATTGCTTTTCCATTCATCAAACAACAAACGAAGGAATGATCATTGTCTTGCCTAGGGCTTTAAGCTTCTATAGTTTTCAAAATATCCCTTCCAACATCATAAATGATGGCATAAGAAAATCTTAGGTACAGTGAAATAATGAAAATTTGTTAAAAATCAAGTATAAACAAGCCAGTCAAAATTATCACCCACAGTAGTTGGTTTAATTAAAGAGGATCTTTTCCATCCAGTGGCTCGTAACTTTTGGTATTAATAACTTTAAACTCATGCAGAATATACTGTTTTGAGAGGTATTTTTTCTCCGGCCACAAGAATAAAAAATGATAGAAGGATAAGCATTTGATTCCTTCAAAATTTAATGAAACCACCGCCAGGGGAAAACTCGGGAAAAACATGACACACCTCGTCTTTTCTGACACTTTCAGTCTCTCCCACGTCTCCAAGTCAGCTTCGGTGATATTGGAGACTGTGACAAATCTCGGAGCCTCTCGGTGAGGGGCGAGGTGGCCCTGAATTCTCCGCTGAGCCAGGTCATCCCTGTAAAGATCTGGCACCTTCCTCACTCCCAATTCTGCCGGTTCGCTCTCCTGAGTCCGAGTGATACAGGTCACCATTGACTTCACCTCTTCTGTTTGGCCCTGGTTTCTGTCAATTTTATCCAGGCCCCCACATCATTGGAAAAATCAGGTTCAAGGAAGGGGAGCAGACAAACAGAATGTCAAGGAAGGAATTTCAGAGGCTAAGGACACAAGGAAATGAAGGAGGCACCTTTCCCTTTCTCAAAAAATATGGAATCAACTGGAGCCTTGATTCCTCTCGCCTATGTTACCCTTTTGATACTGTAATGAGATGGAGTTTTTTCCACCACATGACAGTCTCTAGTTTAGTTTAGGAAGAGAAGCCAGGGCTTGCTGAAAGACTATTAAGAATGGTAATGAGATTTCGGTTTGACAGTAATGATGCCCAATTCCCACACTATTCAAATTACTGTAATGAATTCAAGTTTTCTGATTGAATCCCTGAGCCGTCTTGGAATGTCTTTTACTGCAGCAGTAAAAGGTTAGTAACGAGCTCTGCACGATCCAAATTCTAGGATTAGTTTGGAGATAGCTGGAACGTTGTTCACATATTAAATATCTCAACCATAAACTCACAACTGCCAGAAAGTACATTTAAGTCGATTCCAAACAGAAAGTTTCAACCTTAAAATCAGTCTCTGCTTCCCAATAGCATTGGTTAGGTTTGGGTAATATAAACTTGAAGATTAAACAGACTGTATCCTCTTCACCTGGATCTACAGAGTCAATACCCACTTGTTTCTTGTGTTAATAGCTGGTCATCTTTATTGATGTTAAAACTGATATTTTCAACTGTTCTCCCAAGAAGTGGATGTTGGGTTGCTTCATGCTGACAATGCTGTCATTTAAATCAAAGCTGTGGCATCTATATGCATAAAACATTCAATTGCATTAAAAGTCAATTTCTAACTAAACATGCTTCCTGAGATAGAAAATCTCAAAAACCTACATCAAGAAGGTTATTTGTTTTCTTAAAAAAGATACCATCCAAGCCAGAAAACCGAGAGGTATTCTTTTGTTACCTGGATGATGTGGTGTCTTTGCAGAGCCTCTACAGTTGGGAAGGCTACAGAATTTTCTGTTTAATTTTAGTTTGGGAAAGGGGATGAAGGAAGGGCAGAGGCAAGAGCCACGAGGGGCCTTCTCTTCTTTCATCAGTTCTTTGATGCTCTCTAGAGAGGTCATGGGCCATCCCAGACTCAGAGCCATGTCCCCAAACACAGAGTCAGGTGACAAATGAGGCTGGAAATACTGGGAATTAAAACTGCATGCAGGAGAAAGGAAAAAAGGGAGATACAAAAGCAACTCCTTTTCCTAACTCAAGTTGCTGATCCCCATCAATGTGCGTTGGTACTAGTCAGTTGTCCAGAAGTCTTTGTTTCACGTGCAACAACAGATCCCTCCCACAAGGCCCTCCTAGAATGGTTTGTTACAAGGCACGCCAACAAGAGCAGCACAGAGCAAGAGACTCCCGAAGCTAGAGTGTGTCCTGTAAAAAAATCACGCCAGGCTTCTGTGCTCTAACCCCTGTTCTATATCCCAGGAGCGTCCACACATTTTGTACCTGGTACTTTCCAGAACAACAGCAACAAGCACCACTGACTACTCCACTGAGCTCAGTGACTCTGCCCAAAGAACCATTTGAATTGTGTAAAACACAGTTAAGATGTTTATATTCTTCATTCAACAGAATTTACAAACCCCCTTAAATGAGGGGCAAAGAGATGGCAATTTGACGATGCAAATCTCTGATTCTGGTATAAGGAAAAAATGCAAGAATGATCAACTCTGTGTGATGAAATTTAGCAAGCTGACACCTTCAATAAATTCATATCCCTCCTAGGATAAAAATCACTGGCCAAAACCCATTTCGCTACAGTTTTCCTTTCCCAAATGAAGAGGATGGGAAAAAGGCTGCGAAAGGAAAACTCATTCAAAAACAATTTCTATAAAAGAACAAACAGAAACATACTATATTTTTGAGAAGGTTTTTTTTTTTTTTTTTTTTTTTGGTTCCACACCCAGTGTGGAGCCCAATGCGGGGCTTGAAATCATGACCCTGAGATCCAAGAGTCAGATGCTCAACCGACTGAGCCACCCAGGCACCCCGGTTTTGTGTGTGTGTTTTTAATGAGAAATATCCATCATTAAATGTCTGAGTGATTTTGCTGGTATGTGGAAAGAAAGAGCAAGCCTCATTTTCTTCCCCTCCCAATATCTAAAAGGAGCCAATAAGGGAGAAGAGCCTACAGCTAAGGAATGACTGTGTTTTCTGCTTCCTGCGAATGGACTGGAGCAGCTTTGGGTGGTGGCCACCCCTGATTGGCAATGGTACATGTCTGCTTGTGCCAATAACGCCAATCATTTGTGGTGATGTGTCCACTGGAACTCAAAGTTTATTTGGTGAATTCAGCCCTATTTTGGACATGGCCATTCTAGTCTCTGCCACTGCATTTAGGGAGACTGGATATCTGGAGTTCTGCTTCAAAACAAACCACCATTACCGATTATTTGTAACTGGGAAAGGAAAGAAAGGAATGGGGGCCTATGACACAAGTCATCTTCACTTAATTATGCCCCCTCTCTCACTCACACAAACACACACACAGCGCACACCTTTTATATTCTAGACTTTTCTTTTCTGAAATTCCCTTTGAGAGCGGTTTGCTGCTCTCTGATTTCTCTGCCTCCTTTTTTCGGTGAGGCCCATAGAGGAGTTGATTCAATGGCACTGCTGGCTTGGTCTGGTTCATCCTCGCTCTCCTTGCAGCAAAGTCATCTTTCTCAAGATCAGGCCGCCGACATGCAACTTCCTCTTCCGACTCTGAATCTTTGCCCCGTTGGTGGGTCAGGAAAGGGTTTCCTTTGCGAAGGTTAATGTCATGAACAGCTTCTTTCTCATTACTTAATTGCTTGTGACTGATGGAGCAAAATTAAAGAGAACCCTCCATGTGATCAGACCAAATATTCTTTTAAATCCCCATCTCCAGACACACACATTGTGTTGTTAGTGAAAGGTCTTCTCGGTATCGTTAGTTTAGATGACATCTGTTTGCTATTTTAGTCCAGGGTTGTAGCATAGTTAGAGTGGGTTTTAAAACCTTGAATTTAACCAGCTACTAGCAATGCTAAAAAGTCATTTAATTGACAGGGTCCCATCAGCATCAGCAATGCAGGATCCTAAATGGCTCTGAGAAGGACAATCCAAACTCTTGCCATGAAATTGGAAAGAGTAGATAGTTTTTGGTTGTTCTTTTTTCTTTAGAACATTAGCAATGCACCCAACAGGTACACAATTTGTTTTTGAGTGACAGGGCAACAATTTGAGCCACCAAGAAACTGATCCGGGGGAAAGCTAATGCAGGCAGCTGTGTGTGACAGCAAACCTAGACTATGTACCCGATCGCAAAGTGTGAGGAAGGTCTTTCTGCAGAGCTGAGCTAACCTGAAGCATCTGGAAGACTTTATGACTATTCACAGGATGGACCCGGGGCATAAATGCTTCTTTTGCCCTGCACCTCCCCACGAGCAGCTCTGTATTCGATCTTCTACCCCAACGACTGTCCGCCTCTTAGCTCTTCTTCATCATATGTTGGATGTCAAGTAAATTGTGACCAAACATTTTGCCAAAATAGCTAAAAAAAAAAAATCAATACTTTGTACTATTTCCATTTTCAAAGAGATATTAAAGACTTTTCAAACTTTCAAATTCCTGAATGCAGTTAAATGGTGGAATTTCAGGACTCTTCACTTAGTTTTGTTTTTTGTTTTCGTTGGAGGCATGTGGGATAGGAATAGGGTTGAATGTGTCCATCTGGGATTCATACAAACTCCTCTCCCCCTGCTCATAGGCTCAGCCTTGCTTCTAAGTAATTATTATTCTAAGTAATAATAAAATGTTAAAACTTTTAAAAATCATTATCTTCTCGTTTCATAAAGATAAGTAAATAAAATATCTTGACTCCTATTGCTCACCTACTTTGTATCCAATTTCTAAGAGAAAATTAAGAGTAAATTCTTCATCCTCAAAGGACAACTCATCTCAGAAATGAAGAAGGAGGAATTAGCCTAGCTAGGAGTAAAATGAACAATGAGACTCTTATACCCTGATCAACCAGGCCGCCTGCTTTCTGCTACCCTGCTCCATACTGCTCCTGAGGGGGCTACATCTTAAGATTATAGCAGGCCCTCACTCCATCTGACTTTTTGGAAAATCAAATCATCACTAATCAAGCCCAGAAAATTCCTTCTTCTCACTGCTGCCATTGTCCTCAATAAAAATTTAAAATACAGAATTTGGAAGTGGTTGGCAGTGCTTTGCTCCCCAAATACATTTATTTCTTAAAATATGAAATCCTGCCCTTTGAGTTGCACACCTGACTCCCAGGGTCCTGCCTGGCCCCTCCTGGATGGTGCTCATGCTCCTCCCCACCTCCTTAGCCAACGCATCTGGCAAGTACCAACTGGTGTTGGCTGACTAGAGCCATAAGAAAGGCCAATGGAAATCACAGGCCATTGAATTCGTGTCTTCAAAAAAGCATTATTTAAAAAGCACAATGTTAATGACAAAGAAAGTGGCTAACAATTATTGAGCATGCACTATTGGCTGGAATTCCTTCTAAGTGTTAGTTCATTTAAACCTAATACCAACCCTGCAATGTTAGTATTATTAGCATCACCATTTTAAGAGAGTAGAAACTAGGTTCTAGGTTCAGAAACTTGCCCATGGTCAAAGTGCCAGGGCTTAAGTTAAAATTCACACCCAGGCTGTCTGGCTCCAGGGGTTCTCTTCTAACCACTATACTGTGCGTTAAGCAAAAAACCCAGCCAGGAAGAGTATTGAAAGCAGAACATCATATAAAAAATAAGGCATTATCATGACTATGGTAGTAGGAGAAAGAAAAGTATTTTAGTTACTAAATAAAGGGACCTTGTGAGTTGTGCTTAGGCCGGAGTTGTGATTTGCATTGCTGGTCACAGACAGCAATGTTCTGCTAGGATTAATGATAGCAGAATGCTAACTAATCATACCTTACAATGCTTGCATGGCACTTTACAGTTTACAAAGCGCTTTCAAACTCATTATCTCATCTCAGCTGATCCGACTCCAAGTTCAGGAGGGGAGCGGACCCCTAGCTGGAACCTCGTACGTTCAAAAGCAGCACTCTTTTCATTTTTTGACCAGGGGTCTTGGGTTACCATCTCCCCCTCAACTCAGGCAGAATTCTTTAGAATAAAACATATGCATTTATGCAAATGACCATGCCAATTTGTGATGCCAATTTGAGCAGGGAGAATCTGGTGTTCTCTGGATCACAGGAGCCCAAGCCCTGCTACAGATTCCCCGGGGTGTTTCTTTTTAGGCTAAATGCCCAGCGTGGCAGCACTTGTTTCAAGCGATCTCAATTTAGATGTGTGGACTTAAAAAAAAAAAAAAAAAGACGGTGAAGAAAGCTTTCTGTATCACTGGCCACTGAAAGCCACTCCCTACCCACTTGGAAAAAAAGAAAAAAAAAAACCAAAACGGTCATAATGCCTGATCTTCCGCTACTTGCTTGAATCCTGTAAATTCAGAGTTTCAAGGCAGACTCAGAAAAAGAGGGGAAAAAAGATAATAACACAAAATCTGAACTGGTACTTTTGGCCATGCAGTAATACTTACGGTGTATAAGGTAGATATAAAAGATTGTGTTCACAGGTATCTAGTTACTGAAATTTTTAAGTAACCTGTTACAAATGTGCTTTTCTTTTTCCCTTGAAGGACCTTGAGGGCCGTCTGTTGTCAAGCTTCAGTATGTTCTACTTCAGTTTTCAACAATTACAACTCTCTGAGCAGCTAGTGTATTTCAGATACGCTAACCTTTCTGACAACCCTGTGAGCTAGGAATTCTCATGTCTACTTTGTAGAGGAGAATACTGAGGCTTCTAGTTCCAGTCATCTGAATTTAGGTAAATAAAGTGAATTTCAGGGGCAGACTCAGGTTATCTGGCTTGATATTCATGGGGGAGGTTTGAGGCTTTGATTTTTTCGAGCCATTCACAGATGAGTCACTTTGGGAAGAAGGGGCTGCTCTTTGGGCACAGCTCGCAGCTTCGCTCAGAAGCAATATGGTTCAACGTGAAACGAGACATGCCCAGCATGGCTTCCAGCCTTGCAACTGCGTCCAACCTCATCTAAAACAGGCAAAGCTATCTTGGTAGGAGAGGTTATGGGCTCGAAGCAGGTGAGGGGGAAGAAAAAGCTCTTGGCTCAAAGTTATAGGTTTCAAAGTGAATGAGATAATGATTGAAACGAAGGAAGAACTGGCATTTTCTTTCACCCCTTTTCCCTTGGTAACACACAAGCAACCAGCTCAGACTGGCAGCCAGTCTGTTCTATTGAAAGAAACTGGGCTCTCCTGGGAATGTCAGGGGCAACACCAGAAACCTCCTGGCTCACCCACTGCCCACACAGTGCGTCCACAACCAGAGTCACAGAGGCTCCTGCAAGCTATGTGTCTGTCTGCTCCCGATCCCCAAGGGTCTGTTCAGCAACAACCAGGGACACAGGAGTCTGCTGAGCAGGGGTGTAGAGGAATACGTGTCTGGCACTTAGCTGCATCCACTCTTTCCTCTAAAGATTTCAAAAATGTCTATTGTTCCTTGGAGGGTTTTTTTGCCCTCTGTAATTAATTACCATGTGGTTGAGAAGATCCACAGACCAGAGGAAAAGACTGAGTGCTGAAACATATGAAAACAATTAGAAAAGAAGTACAGTCACGTGAAACCTATAATTCAGTTCGGGGAAAAAAAAAAAGTTTACTTCTCCAATGGGAAACACCAAGTAAGAGAACTCAAATCTCCATGGCATTTTAATTCAGGGGAAGTGAATCTTGGTTCCCATTTTATCCTCTTAAAAACAGAAATCTTGGCTTTTTTGGCAGAGTCTCATATTTTGGGGGTAATTAAGCTAACTTAATCATAAACTAAAATAGAAGAAAAAGTAGTTTATATACTTCTTACTTCAGTGGTGACTCTAATAAATATTAAACTCCACATATTTATTAAGAAGCCCTACTTTCTGTCCCTTGATGCTAAGATACCTCCTAATATATGGTTTGACAGGAAGCTTGGGACTTCTGCGCTTCTAAACTCATGTGAAAATGGAGTACCATGCTCTCTTACTCCTTTTTATATACTGAATTAGAAATAACACAAGGAGGTGTTTGAGAATACTTGGGAAAAAACAACAGTAAAACAGCCTATAGAAATAAAGCCTTGTCCTCTGTCTGTGTACCTCCATCCCTTGCCCATGACTTTGTATGATTACCCATCTCTACAGACTCAGAATTTCCCAGACAAGAAATGGACCACAGAACATATGTTGGGCCTCTTGCTGGGTTCAAAGATGTGGAAGCCAAAATTCATCTGGATGGCAAAGACAGGAGATGGAGGTTAAATGTTTTAAGAGACATCAGCATATTTACATACTTTATATTCTTATTTTTCAGATACCAAGAAGCCTTTTCATCTTTATGTGTTTCATTCCAGTTAAGCTACTTTCTGCCACATGAAAACCAGGATAAACTTAGCATGACTTTCAACTCTGATGAAGGCTACAGAAAGTAAATGACAGAGACACAGATAGGCCAGGCTAGTGACACGGGATGTATAAACCCTTTAGAGAGAGCTAGCAGCTGAACAATCTGCCAACAAATGAATTCTGGGTGTTCAGAGACACAATGTCACATTGCTGTTGGGCACATTCTCTGGGAATATGCAAAATTTTCCTGAACCCAATTTTAAATGTTAAGCCAGAAGATCTCAGGTGTGATGATCTTAACAGACCTGGGAATTTCTGCTTAATAGAGCTAACTTGGATGAAATATGTAAACAACTGAGCCAGATGACAGGAAATGTGGACGGGAGCAAAGTTTTCCATATAAATATAATATTCATCCATCAGAATTACATTTGTAAACTAACCATGATTCTAGGTTTGTGCACAGAATGGGAACTATGATAAAAGATTTCAATATTTCATTACAAAATAAACCTCACAGTCACTGACACAGGACACCCATGGAATTCCCAGACTTGTCCCATCTCTTCTCTCCATCACCATGATTCCTGGGTGTGCTGAGTTAACTTAATGAGGCTCCCCACTCATATCGTGTTGCTCTTTTGGATACTCTGAAGATGATATAGAGATTCCTTGAAAAATTAAAAATACATCTGCTATATGACCTGGCAATCTCACTTCTGGCTATTTATCCAAAACAATTGAAGTCAAGATCCCTAAAAGATAGTAGCACACTCCCATGTTCACTGCTATACTATTCACAATAGCCAAGATGTGGAGACAACCTAAATGTCCACTAATGGACGAATGCAAGAAAATGTGACATTTATATATAATGGAATATCACTCAGTCTTTAAAAAGAAGAAAATTCTGCACTATGTGATAATACAGATGAACCTTGAGGACATTATGTTACGTGAAATAAGCTAGTCACAGAAGGAAAAATACTGCACGATTCCTCTGTATGTGATAATACAGATGAACCTTGAGGACATTATGTTACGTGAAATAAGCTAGTCACAGAAGGAAAAATATTGCACGATAGATATGCCATATCTAAGAGTCAAATACATAGTATCAAAGAATAGAATGGTGGTTGCCAGGGGCTGAGGGAGGGGGAAATGGGGAGTTGCTAATCAATGGGCATAAAGTTTCAGTCAGGCTGGATGAACAAATTCTAGAGATCTAGTGTACAACATCATATCTATAGTTAACAAAACTCTTTTGAACAATTCAAGATTTGTTCAGAGGGGAGATCTCATGTTAAGTGTTCTTACCACAGTAAAATGGATTTTTTTTAAATGGGAAAAGGTGGCCCAGCATATGGAAGAAGAAACCCGAATAGCCAATACACATATTATAATATTCAACCAGATTGGTAATTATAGAAAAATCAATCTTTAAAAATGAGATTCATTTTAACCAAGCGGAGTTGTAACTTTTGAAAATGATAATAAAACAGAAAAAAAAATACCACGGTGTCTTCAGTAAATTTTAGCTTAAAGACTTCTCAGATGTGATAAAAACGAAGTTATGTGTGTCAAGGATACTAAGATTAAAATTTTTTTGTAAATTCATACTCTTACCTATAATACCTACTCCCACTGGGCCCTAAATTTGAAAACAGAAGGAAAAGTCTGAAAAATGAAACGTGGTAAGGGGATACTATTCATTTTTGTGTTCTCAGCATCGAGCTTGTTCTCTGATACAAGTAATACTAAAATGATGTTGAAAAAATATGTGTCTGATAAGGTCTCTGTACCAAAATTTATAGAATATCTGGATTTGATTTTGTTTTTTATGATTCTATATTACTCTCTATTATCTCAGAAAAACAGAGAGCTGCTTGGAACACAAGCACAATTTTATGGTAGAGTTTTCTAGAAGCACATATATGTTTAGGATAGATATACTTATCTGTGAGATACCACGGACAGGGAAGAAGTATACCCTTGGGGTTTTTGTTTTTGTTTTTTAATCAATACAAAGCTACTCTAGAATTAAATACATATAAGTCAATGCTGGAACTTTCAGTTTAAGAACTAGACCATATAGCTCTAACCACATTTGGAATTGTACAGAGAAATGGAAAATGTTCTGTTAAATGTGTGGGAGGCAGATGTGGTACTGTAGTCTGAACATTTGGATCTGGCCACCAGGTCAGCGGTAACTAGCTCTCAGACCAGCAAGTCACTTACTACCACTGATCCTCAGTTTACCCTTCTTGAAAATGGGTACATCACCTACTTCTCCCAATTAAATGGAACAGCAGATGGCAACGGAATTTCAATTATCAAACTGTTATGAATTTTAAATTGTCAAATAAATTTTCGTCTCATATGATTTGTTAGGAACTTTGTGGTTATTATATGAGAAAAATTAAGCAGCTTCTCAAAACACTACCTAAAACTGTAGAACTATAGTTTTCTGTGGCTTGGGCTGCTGAAGGTTTCCATCACACATGTAATATGAAGTCAGCCGTGCTGGATGCTGGTGCCCTTGTTACACTTAAGAGAAGGAATTACTCCGTTCTTTGTTTTTGAATCACAGTGCCTTAGGAAACGAGTCAAGTAAGTGCGATCTTACCACTCCCTTGGGACAAAGAAAGTAAGTGGGTTTTTTGTAAGCCAACCACTCTTTCTAAAGAGAGTGCTCCCCATTTCAAAGGAACGATTTTCCAGTGATGTGTCAAGTAAGGTAAGAGCCATTTAGGAGTAGCGTGAAAATTAACAAGCTAGGTGAATCCCGCAGCCCACAAATGACTGACCACTAATCCTTGACTAGGACAAGGTCTAATCAAGCAGCAAGAAGCTCACTCTTCACCTCCATTTAGAACAACCAAGTTCTTGGTGGAGACACGCCCCTGCAAAGACTCGCAGCTGTCTACTTGCTGGAGGAGGAGAAGCGGGGGATCGAGCTGCAAAGGGGAAACAGGATGGAAACTCCAGCAAGCCAGGCAGATTCCAAACCCCAGGCATGACCAGAGGCGGCCAGGCCAGCCTTCGGCCTGCGGAGCTAACCTGGCAAAGCGCTGTGCCGCAGGCATGACCTTGATTCCAGCTTGTTCTAGCCTTCGGCGCTTTTGGATTTCAACGGCATCTTTTTCTTCAGACTTGGGAGCTGGTGCCTCCACAGCCCCCTCTGGAGGAGGCTGCTCCTGGCCACTGCCAGTGGGCAATTCTAACCCACCATCAGAAGACTTCCCACCAGGATCCACTGGGCCGACTGGGTCCTCTTCACAAGGAGACCCCACTTCACTTCCCTCTTCCTCTATTGTTTCAGGACAGCTAGTGAGTTGGACAACACAGTTTACCAAACTAACAGTCTGGGCTGGGGAGCAAGCCATACGTCATTTCCTGGTCATTCTGATATTATTTTTCACTTAAAAAAAAATGTCATAGCATGCAATATGATCCTGGTAACGGGAAGAAAGTTAAATGCGGCCATTAATTTGTTAATAAATATGATGCATCATAATCTTAACAGTAAGAGCTACTTAAAAATTGATATTGAAAGGCAAAAAGCCTTTTCTGCTGGAAAGGTAAAAGTCATGTTTGATTCAATCATCAAAACTTTCAATAAAATGTTTATTCGATGAAATTCATAGATAATAAAGGTGGATTATTAGAAATAAGCATGCAGTGATCAGGGTGGTTTTGCTCAAAGGATTAGACTGGACCATAAGTTTCTTTTATTGGACTAGAAGGTTCTTGAAGGCAGGGACTCACCTTATTTACTACTGGGTCCCCTGTGCCTAAAAGACAGCGCCTAGCATGTAGTAGGTGCTGAATAAATACCTGCAGACTAAATGAATGCATAAATATAAAGACATAATCAGAGTTTAGGGGAAATCCCTGCTTGCTTCTCTAAAGAGATGAGCAGTTCAATGTATCGTCCATTGACTAGGAGTTTCTCCAAGCGATTCTGAAGCCTGTTTCATGCATCCCTTACATACTTGAGCTTGTATCTAGATAATCACGTATCTAGATTTAAGAAAAAGACTTCTTGCACAGAGATGTGGCTTTCTGCACCTAATTTAACAGGAGTGGGAGTCAGGCAGTCTCCTCAGAAAGACATGGGTGACAGATCTGCTCTCCATGTCCCCTCACTAGAACTGGTTTCAAAAATCTGCTCATTAGACAAGGGATCTGTTGAGTACCACTGTGTGGCAGGCACTGTTCTCGGTGCCTTCATGAAGCTTAGATTCTGTCATTACAATCTCTCTCCAAAGAGCTGTCTTGCCCACTGCCATTTGTAATCTTTTTTTTTCTTAATAAGATTTTATTTATTTATTTCTTTGACAGAGAGAGACACAGCGAGAGAGGGAACACAAGCAGGGGGAGCGGGAGAGGGAGAAGCAGGCTTCCCGCCGAGCGGGGAGCCCGATGCGGGGCTCGATCCCAGGACCCCGGGATCACGACGTGAGCGAAGGCAGACGCTCAACGACTGAGCCACCCAGGCGCCCCTGCCATTTGTAATCTGGCGTCGAGGTTCTGGAATGGTTATCTGAGCTCGATCGTGTGCTGGAGCTGTGTGGTCCCTTCACCGCTAGTGCGCAAGCCAGGACTGGGGCAGCATAGCTCAGGGCTTACCTGAAGGGCCTCTCCCCACCCAGGGGGGAGGTCGCAGTACTCCAGCTCTTGCGGTATTCCTCTCGCTCTGCTTTCTTCTTCCTCAGAGGAGCGGGGACGTAGGCCGTCTGATTGCTTTTGTTCGGGAGGTACTGGTTAAAAGGCACTGCTGATTTCGGCTCACCGTGGGAAGTCCGCCTCGCAGACATGTCATCCTTCTTCACATCTGGCAGCTTCCGATGTGGCAAGTCGGATTCCGAGTCACTTCCTCTCCCTGGGGAAGAGAGGATGGGTGCTGAAAATGTGCGCGGGGCTAGCTGAACAGTTCCCGCTGGCGAGTGTGCTGTATTAGGGATGTGGTTAGATCTGTGGGTGCTGGGGATTCCTTCCTTAAGTTATTCACTTAACGAATCTGAAGTATCCCTCTAAATTAGTCTGTTCTGGGAAAAGCTCCAAACTCAAATCAGAGGGAAAAAAATTCAATTGAAAAAATAGAGGTAAGCCTAATTGTATCTGAGAACTACGATTCGCAACACAGTTGCAGCAGAACTAGAGGCTGCTCAGATTCTGCGACTCTGCAAAGAAAAGACATAAATCAACCGAAGGAGTTTCTACTGAACACCTGCTATTGCGTGTCTTACACTGTGCTAGATATTCACACAAATAAGAATTATAAAGGATTCTGTTTTATAGAGGAGATGTCATAAAATGACATTTTTGTCTTGGAGGTACCTTTAACAATCCATGAAACGCCTGGAGAATATTAGTTATCATCAAGGGGCAAAGATGGCTAAGAAGAAAAGGAATTTGGAAAATGGCAGATTTAGATTAGACCAAGGGTTTGCCTTCCAGGAAGTGGTTTGAGTTACAATAAAAGCATATTCCTTTATATCAGAGCCCTTCCTGGTACCCATAGCTGAAGGCCATCTTTTCTTCCTGTGAGCCCCATGGCCCAATCTAGTCTTTTCTTCGGGCACATTACTCTTTCGACCTTGTATTCTGAGAACAAGGGCTTTACATCATTTACAGCACTGATCACAGCGTCTTTGCACCCAGTGGGCATCTTCAAATTAACTGAGGAATAAATGAATTGGTTTGGCTTAAAGAGTGTTTTAGGCAACGCAAGAGAATTCAATGTTGCCAAATCAGTTTTGGGGGGGCAAGAGCCCCAATAATTATCTTGTATCCCTGTTTCCTGAGTCTCATCTCACTCAATTGGTAAGATCTATGAGAGCGAAGCTGTCATTAAAACAAACACTACTATTACAGAGGCCGCCATGTGAGAGTTGGTTGGAAACTCTTCATCAACGAGAGGATCAGGAATAGGTTATTCAACTTCGTTGACAGCAACTAAAATTTACTTTGTGAAAAGAGCCTTCAACTGAGTCAAGAGATGGGGCAGCCTAGCCAACTGGGCAGTGCACAGGGTCTTAAGCCAGATCTACTTTGTTTTGAGCTCTGCCACTCACTAGCTGTGAGACTCTGCAGTTGTTAACTCACCTCTCAAAGCCTCAGTTTCCCCAATCTGCAAAGTGAGGATAATAATGCCACCTACTTTGTAGGGCTTTTGCGAGGATCGCATACATGTAAACTGTTGGTATAGTACTTGGTACAGGGTAAGTGCTTGATAAATGCTGACTACTCTCGATGTCATCATAGTTCTCGACCTGTCGCTACTGAGCTGTGGGCTCCTAGGCTGGCTCTATCACACTTGCCTGTCCTCTTCTGTAAAAATTAGAATGAAATGATTTGCCCTGAAGATTAAATGATTTAATGGCTTTTAAAAGACTTTACAAGTTAAAAGCATTGACCATAAACAAGTCGTTCATTGTTGCAGGATGAAATGGGCAGTTTATGAATTATTCATCGCACTTGCTTTCAACCTCCCTTCTGAAGTTTTGACCGTTTCAGTACTTGCTGGTTTTTGATTCATAACTTAGCACCTTCCCACCCCAAGTCTTTCATCAACGGTATCCACCTGTCTCAGTGTCCCAGTGGAACGTTTAGAGGCCCCGTGAAATCTTTATAAACAAACGCTAACACTGCCTTCCCTTGCCAAACTCTTAGATTTGTTTTCTGATTTAATATTATCCCCATTTTACAGAGGTGGAAACAGAGGTTCAGAAACGCAGAAAGAGCCCCTTCCACATGGCTGGAACGTAATGGCTCAGGACTCCCAATTTCTTTCTCGAGACTCCAATCCAAAGTTCCTTCCTCTGTGACGAACTTCTCTTGGAGAAATGTCCTCTGCTTAAAGCATCCTGACTAGGGGAAGCACTACACTTTCTCGAATAAACGAATGAAAGAAAATGATTCTTCAATCATCTATGAAGGCTTAGTAATGAATTAAGAGTTGTCTCCATTTTCTAATGTCTAAAATCCTATCATCTATGAACCTTCTTTGTGTACAGTATCTAAAAACATATTATCTGTAATAATCTCAGTGAAAGTCTCAAAATAGGTTGTTTAACAAATACACAGATCACCCTTTTCCTTCCCACAATTACTCTTTGATAAATGTCTTCAACAGAGAGTGCAAGGAAAGTTAATTTGCAGATGCCCTGAGGCAGAGTGACTCAGTTGAAAGAAGTGCAGTTTTCTGGACTTAGAGGCCAGGCTCTAATTTCGGCTCCATCCTACTAGCTGTGTAGCTCTGCGAAATTTAAACCCTCCGTTCCTCAGGGTCCTCATCGGACACATGGAGATGTTAAGGCAGCTCTGACAGGTATTGTGAGGATTCAAGAAGATGGTGCAAAGCACCTAGGAAGTGGCTGGTACAGCAGCACACCCTCGGTAAATGCTAGAATCCTTATCAAAGGCCAGGACTTCCAAAGAGTTTGACTTCACCCCGAAGACACAGATATATATACTAGGGTGGCTTCGCTATTTATACCCAAAGTTAGGAAATGACAATGCAGCACATGATGATGATGACATTACTTTATCAAAGTCTGAGTCTTCCTTCCCAGAGGGCTACATTTCTCCCCTTTCCAGTAACTGGAGTTGGGGGGGGGGACGTTCTTTTTTCCCCATATTTTGGCCATATACACCCCTAGCCCTTGGCTTTCTCATCTCCCTCTACCACCTTAATTTCTTTCATTCCTTATTTCTCTCCCTCAACTCCTCTTTTCTATAAAAGAACACTCATTTAACAAAATACATCATATTTCTAAACTATGTTCTTAATTTTAAATGCATCTGAGTAGAAAGGTTTATGTTTCCTCTTCAGTGAGGTCCATTAAGTGGCCTCAGGAGGATGCTAGCAGAGGTGAGGGGAGGAACCGGGACCTGTGTAGCAAGACAGATTGGCGGAACTAACCCTGGGGACCCACAGCACCCCGACCGGGTAGCTCTCGGGTGCAACCCATAGAATCGCGGCACCTCTTATGAGCGTGGTTCTTGGTTGTCCCCACTGAATGGGTCAGTGGGCCTTGAAGATATTAAAATATTGACCCAATGTGGAACTGGACAATTTTATGCTAAGATTTTCCCTAATTGATTGTGAGTCCTTAGGAAATAAATTTTCAAGACTTAAAAAAAAAAAAATGTTCTTCTAAATTTGAAAGTGTTTATTAGGACTAGCAATCTTATTGATTAGCATCATTAAAAATAGACCATAAATTCTAATAAAACACAACACCTATTTGAATAAAATTACACTATTTTTAAAGGCAGATTTTAAAAAGTGTGTGTGTGTGTGTGTTTTAAACCTCATTAGGTCTTGATTTGTTTATAAGAACATAAGCCTGAAGGTATCAGGCTGCTTGGTGAAATCTATGTTTAAGGTGCTCTCTTTCATGGATGGTGTTCTGTGAGGCTCAATTTCATATTATTCTTTACATGGAAAAATATTTATAAAAAGACTCTAGCTTATCAATCTTAATTGCTGCAAATTAAATTGTGCCTCAGCACATATTAGTGCAATATTAGTAATTACCATCTCAAATCCCTTCAAGATGTCACTCATTACAAACTCTGAGCCCCTCAAAGCTGTGACAGAATATAAAACCACTTATAAAACCAAGATGAACAAAGTAACAATTTTTTAAAAAAACAATCAAAATGAAATAGTCTGGTTCAGATATGTTTTGTGCAAGTAAATCTACCTTTTGGTTATGTTAAACTTCAGTTAGGTCACGTACTTGGCATTGTAACTTCTAATGCTGTGGATGGTACTTAAGATGTCATATAAAATTTTAGAAATGTTTTTCAAGCAGTTCACAATGCACCATGGAATTCTTTTGGAGTCACATACTATGTTGCCCTGAGGCTAATCTATTTGTTGGAAAGCTTAAGCACTAAACAAAGGCATTAGTTCAGTCATTCTAGAATTTAAAAAATTTATTAGGTAAACAGAAGTTGTGGGCAAATTAGGTTTAAGAGTTTAAGTTTTGGACTCACACTTCTTGAGGCTAACATTGTTACACTACTTAATGACAGTGATATTTGTCACTTAACAACTTGAGGACAATTACTTAACCTCTATAAGGTTCATCTGTAAAATACAGACAAGGAATGTCTCACAGCCCGGGGGGGGGGGGGGGGTTGAGGACTAAGTCAGAAACTATGTATCTCGTACTCTGGTGCTAAGGGCTAAATGAGATGCTAGGTGTCAAGTAATTAATTCAGGACCTAGGCACATTAAATACTCAAGGATTTTAGACAGAGTTTTATAGCTAAAAGGGATCTTTCAGCCATAAAAGGGAATTTTCATCTCAGAGAGAAGCCTTAAGTCTCTAGGAATATTAGCATCAATCGAGCAATGCATTAAAAAAACAGAAACAAATAAAAAATGCCCCACTAACCTCAGTGCGTTCCTGCAAGTTTAAGTTTATATATGCCGAACCAAGCCATTTTCCCTTCCTAAAAGTACAAAGCTACAAGATAAGTGACGTAAACAGCTTCTGGAAAATATGCCTTAAATTTACATCAGGTCGCATGACCACACATTTTTAAAGAAAAATGATCAGTCCTTACAGGTGGTAGAAAATCCAGGGGATTTAAATCAAACCCAGACTCAGAACAAGCAGGCAGTCTGGGCTGTGTACATTGGGGGCCACCCACAACGCTCCAGGCAACGGCCAGGTATCATAAGCATCGAACAGATTGCCAAAACCCTGCCAATTAAAGTGTCCCGGGCTTCAGCACCTTCCCAAGTGCGTGTAGTGCATTTCCAGCTAGCTGGAAGTTGATTCATTTTCACTTCTGCACTGTGGTACTCACACATTTCCCTTCCTCATACCCAGAGCATATAAACCTTCGGCACACTTTATGAGCTAATGGCCTGCACAGCGTCTTGATTCACTGAGACCAAGGGAGGAATGATGTAACATATTTTCCAAGAGAAGAGAGGCTCACTGAGGCAATGTTCAAACTGCTGGCAAAGCCAAGCCAAATTCTAAGGGCCACGAAAAACAACATTAAAAATGCTTTTCTTCTCCCAGTTTAGAGTTACCGGGTCCCAGCACGGTGGATCTGGAGCCCGCCTTCCGTCCACGGGTGACAAGGCAGCTCTTGTGAATGTTCAACTCTAAGACGTGCAGTGTACGAAGGCTGCAACCTACCATCGCTGCTTCCCCTGAGGACTACATCTGGTGAAGGGGTCTGCCGGGAACGGGAGCCAAAGGAATCCAGGCTGTCGAAGGAATCATCTCTGCCGTGGCGAGGGGGAGACAGGGAGTCGCTGCGCTCGGAATCCCAGCAGTCTATGTAGCCACTGTCTCGGATACTACGTTTGGGACTCTCAATGTCATCAGTCTCCTGTCCAAAAATAAAACGAAAAAGATATTACAGACACTTGAGCAACAGATGGAGAGCCTCTGATACCAGGAAAATCTAGCTCCGGGTGGTCTTCAAAAGATCCCGCGTGTGGTGTCAGGATGGAAAAAATTATGGCCCGGATTATCATCCACAAGCCAACGTTGCATCCTTCCACCCTCCCTGCCTCAACTTTCCCCATGAGAAAAGCGTGCACATTTCAAATAAATAAATAAATAAAAATCCAAGTAACTCACACCCTACCACGTTTAAAAAAAAAAAAAAATGGAAGGAACGAAGAATAAAAGCCTCCTTAAGTTTGGATTCACAAGAGTACAGAGACCGACCAAAACAAAACTAAACACCAAAAGCCTTAACCTTGACCCGTCTCTCGGAATCCATAGGCGCATGCCTGTTCTGGGACCGAGCCCCCGGGTTGGCAGCGCGATTGCTCCTGGTTACGCTAGCTGGCCAAGGCACACAGCGTTTGTTTTTGCCGCAGAATCAGGTCTGTAAAGTCTGGAGCAAGCAGCACACGTCCATCTCCTGCTACCTTGAAGGGAAATTCCTGCTCTGAAAGGGAGGTGTCTTTCGGAGGCAGAAAGTTTAAAAAAAAAAAAAAGGCAATGAAAAATATGCAAACTGCTTTTCCTGATGCCTCAGAAGAATCCAGGCATGCTCTTGCTCTCGGCCAGCCCCTGGCGCTGGGGGAGCTGAAGCGCTTGCGGCTGACCCACATGTTCGGAGCAGGGAGAACAATGGCTGTCTTTGACAGCCTGTGATTATAAATTCTTTCCAGCGCAAGCAGCACATACTAAAACACTGAAACCCCAGCAGCGGAAAGGTCAGTCAAAGCCATCCTCACCCTTGCATTAGAATAAAAGCCTTGTTCCCGCCAGTGTTGTTGCATTCATTACAATCGGCCAGGCTGACGAAAACAAAAATAACGCCGGTCACTCAAAGATAAACCTCAATTTAATCTCCTCCAGACTGTCGCTTAAAATCTGGGCTGCGGAGGATGCTGGCGGAGGGGCCCGCGCTCCTCGGCAAAGACTGGAATGTCACCCTGTGGATGTCCTGGGATGCTCGGGAAGGTCCCCTCCACATTCCCGATCGAGAGGACAAATAAACAGATATTCTCTGCATGGTAGCAATTTTGGAAACTGCCTGAACCGACTGATATGCCCACTGGAGCCCAGGCCTTTGTAGCACATGGCTTTGCCAGGTGCTTATCCGTTCTCTCCAGCGCCCCCAACGCACTCCCCAGCGGGAGGCATTCCGAAGGGCCGCCGTGGCTGTAATTTGCAAGGCACACAGGGGTTTGGCCTGGAGAGAAGGGAGTGGGAGACAGGAGGGCAGAACAGAGAGAAACACCCTGCAGCCTCCACACAGAGGCCCTGATTAGGGCCCCGGAAGAAGAGGTTGTCACATGGCCCGGGTGAGCGCAGCCCACTTGACCCTCCAGAGGAAGGCAGAAATTCCAGTTATGGAAATTAAGGTAGTTTACTTGTAGGTCAGAAGTTCAGCAAGACTTGAACAAAAGCCAGGCCTGACTAGCTGCAAAAGGAAGAACTCATCAACTAACTGAGAAGTATAGATTTAAATTGGATATGGTTCTGTATTTAATTTCTTTGGAAATGCAAGTAATAATCATGGGTTATTGATTCACCGAGGATAGGCCAAATGGCTAAAAAAATGAAGGTCACTCCTATTGAATACTTACTATGGGTCTAGGGCTACACTTGTTGCTTTTTGCACATGTATTTAATCCTCACAACCCTACAATGATGTCGTTAGCATTGTCCTCATTTTACAGAAGAGGACAATAAGAATCAGAGAGGTTAAGTAACTTGGCTGAGGTCACAGAGTAAGCAGCAAAACTGTGATTCCAACACAGGATTCCATCTCCAGATCCCAAAGGGTAAAACCTGCCAACGTCTGATCAAACTTGAGGTAGTTATAGTTGCCGCATTACCATCATCACCTCTCCAACTACGGGACACTCACTGCCTCCTTACTCTGTGAATGATGCTAATCTGGGGGATGCCCCTTTCCTAACTGCTGTTTATGCCTACATCACCCAACTATAAATACTGCAAAAGAGAAGCAGCTTAGGGTAGGTTAGGAGCTTAGGGTAGGTCTTGGAAGCTCAACTGACTGGGTTTAAATCCTGCCTCCGCCTCTCGTCATCTCTATGACCTCAGGCAAGTTATTAGTTTTCTAGTCTGATTTCAGTTTTCTCATCTGTTCAATGGAGCTGATAATACCATCTATCTCGCAGGATTGCTAGGAGGGTTAAACATGTTAACATACAGAGAGCACTCAGAAGAATGCCTGATGCGTAAGTGCTCAAAAAGTGTTAGCTATGGTTAGAATTACTTCTATGTATTCATTTGGGTACGTAAATGTCAATATGTAAATCATACAGACTTTGTGAATGTAGGGAAGGACACAACCTGTATATGTACTGATCCTTCTCCATTTATATCCCATAACTAGTTGCCTTGGACCGAGGTTCCCATCAGAGAGGGCAGACCCTCGGGACCAGGTCACTCATCATGTCTAGAAGTGACACAATTTTATGAGCTGCTTGGTGCAGCATTACAAACTGGATTTTCAAGAAAATAATAATAATCAGAAGTGCTCTTCCAAAGGCCCAAATGTCTTACCCACCCCTACTACAAACCACAAGAGAACAGAAGGAAAGAAAGAAAAAGTCAACATGTCTCTTGGAGCATCGGCTGCTTTCTCACAGCTTGTTATGGGAAAGAAAAACAGAAAAGCCATTCTGTTCATGACTGCGTAGAAAGCCAAGAATAAAATCACGGATCCAGCAAGAGAGCAGGAAGCCGAAAGGCATGGCCAGTTTGAAAAGTGAAAAACAGGCCACCCGTGGTCACCCTTGGCCAATCTGGTCCCTTGGAACCTCAGGGTGAGGCAAGAAGTTGGTTCTTCAGCCAAAAATAAAGATGTGGACATCAGCTGGATAAGCAATTTTATTGGATTCCGTCAAGTCAACCAAAGTTAAGCTTTTGGGGGAGAACAAAAGCTATAAACCAGCACAAAGGCTAGCATGGGCCAAATTCTCCTTTGCGGGGTCTAGTTATGTCATCGATGCTTTTCATCCAGGAACCCAGGAAATTTTCGACATCTACAGAGAGCACTTTAGGGATAGGAGACAAGACCCAAATCTATCCATTGTACTAACTGCTAGTTGTTCTAATAAACGTACGTTAATGAATGCGGTGAGAACTATCAACATCTATGGTATTTTTGGATCGTTTCACTCATCTGTCCTTTTCTTATCCCTCTTTGTCAGAGATAATGAGAACCAGCTAAGGTTGTGGGTGACTTACAGTATCTGAGAAACTCCAGATGCTTCTGTGTTACCACTCAACATTTTCTGCTTCCGTTGTGATTTATAAAGCAGCTAAATCCTATTCTGGAGTGTTTTAGGGTTCTGCTTTTCCAGCTTGATGACCCATCTGCACCTACCACACTCTGGCTGGGGAAGCTATTCACTCCTCGGATATTTACCGAGCATCTTCTATGTGTCAGACACGGTCCTAATGCTGGGCACACAACATTCGGCAAAGTCAATAAATACCCTGTCCTCACGGGCCTTATGTTCTAGTAGGGAAGACAAAAGGGAAATGGAAAAACCGATAAATGAATACAAAGTTGAGTGGTAAGTACCATGAAAAAATAAGGCAGGTTAAGGGAAGAGAAGCTGATGTTGGTTGCTATTTTAGGCAGAGGTCTGTTCTTGCCCATCTCATTCCCCCGTCTTTATCCCCTTGTTCTAGTTAACACCCCTCCCCTCCTGAAACGGTAGTGCTTAGGCCAATCCTGGTACCTGTTACCCTTGGTCACAGAGACTGGGCCAGAGTATACCCCTAGGAATTTTGCAGCTGGGCCTAGAAGGAAGAATTTCCTTGTTTTCTGGGCAAGGAGCTAGAACAGGTAATCCTGGAGATGCTGTTGGCCATGTTCCCTGATGCGAGGAAATCTCAAGGAGAGATAGCAAGAGGTGAGAGAGAGACACAAAAAGGAAGAGCCTAGACTGCTCACTTTCCAGCTCTAGTCCCTGAGATTCTAAGGCCACTTAGTCCCCATGATTCTTCCTTCAACCTCAACATTCTCACAGTAATGCCCCTTTGTTCCACTTCAGTGTCCCCTCTGTTGGGAGACCTCCTCTGACATATCTGGGCTCACTGAAAGGCCATTGTCACTATGCTCTCAGAGATCTTTTTTTTTGGCATATAGCAACAGCAACCTACTATGAATACCTACTATGTGTCAGACGCGTCTGCTAAGGGCTCTACACATGTTACTGTACAAGTTGGTAATTTTTAGAAATATTTTTAAAAGATTTAATTTATTGATTTTTGAGAGAGAAAGAGAGAGCGAAAGGACACGAGCAGTGGGGAGAGGTAGAGGGAGAGGGAGAAGGAGTCTCCCCACTGAGCAGGGAGCCCGATTCGGGGCTCGATCCCAGGATCATGACCTGAGCCAAAGGCAAATGCTTAACTGACTGAGCCACCCAGGCACCCCTACAAGTTGATAATTTTTTACAAACATTTCTCTCACTAGAAAAATGAATAGAAAAAATTTCTGGTTAGTCTCCTTTGTGAAAGAAAACATTTCAATTGCAAATTTCTTTCAGCCTGTCTCCATGCCGAAGCAATTCTAGTTGTCTCCTCAGTATCTGCTCCTTTTCTTCTCCAGTGAAAACACCCACAGGGTTTAGCTGAAATACAGCCTACCTTTCCCAAGTCTTTCCTTGCAGGTAGGTTTGGATGTGTGACCAAGTTTAGGTCAATAGGATATGAGCAGAGGAGTAGTGTATGACTTAGCAGACGTGTGTTTAAAGGGAGGGCAGAGGTCCTTCATCTCCTCATCCCTCCTTTCTCCTGGCTCAGATGTGGATATGGTGGCTAAAGCTTGCACAACCATGATGGACCAGAAGGTGAGAACCCAAGGATTGAGAATGTTGGAGTAAAAGGACAGAAGGACCCTGGGTCCCTGATGATCACCTGCCCACTGCTCATGTTCAGACCTCTTTTATGTAAGTTCGAAATTAAATTCATCTTATTTAAGCCACATTTAGAGTTTTCTGCACTTCCCAGACAAACCCAATTTTAATCGATAAAATGAGATAATATCTATTCCAGATAAATTAGTATCTCTAGGCATTGGATGTATCTGTGACGTTCAGATCAATTACTCTCTATTCAGAGGCATGGGAGTACCACAGTTGGCCATTTAGTTAAGTCATGCTGTGTCCAGTGATACCAAGTACTCTCTTGGGTCCTGTGATATTGTACTACGTTCACTAAAAGAAGGGAACCGCTGTTAGCAACGACAGGTCATTTTAAGGCAGCTGACATAACAAGGGTCAGCTCAATATGGTCTCAGTAGAAGGGTTGCTGAAGAAACCATAGCTGCTTAGAGTATAGAGGAGCTGGACTAGTGATGGTAAGAAATGTCCATAGCAAGAATAAATCAGGTTCCAAGGGAATCCAGCAAAGAAAGGAACTGTGAGGCAGGGCTTTTAAACAGTTGTACAAAGATGACCCATGGGTGGCTCAGTCGGTTGAGCATGCGACTCTTGATTTGGGCTCAGGTCATGATCTCAGGGTCATGGGA